GACACCTGTCTTTTCAAACCAAGACAAGTATTTTTAATGTCTTAATTTTATTTTAATTTTGAGCAGCTGACATCAACACTTTCAAGGTCTTTCCTATAACGCTGAGGGCAAGAAATGTCCTTCCCTTTAATTAATTTTTGCTCCAGGAACTTGAGCTCCAAGGAAAAGAGATTACAACATTATTAGATATTAAACCTAGAAAAACAGGAAGCTTCTTGTGACTGAGAAGTATTACACACAAGTTAGTGAAGAGGAAAGACAGATGAAAAAGAGCATCTAATTCATGCTTTGTCCTCAGCCCTGCAATCTTTTAAAATAGGCCAGCTGCACTGTATATCACAGAGCTGAGACAAAACGTGTCAGTGGGTATTTACTACCTATGATCATTTAAGCCTTAATGAATTGCAAAAGCCTCTCTCAGTATCCTAAGTACCGGAAGAAAATCCTGGTTGTATCAAAACAATCAAATAAATTATAGGGCTAAAAGGCAAACTATTGTCTAGCAGCTACTGACTTTTGGCAAAGCAACGTGCCTATTCATTTTCTTCATTTTCTTTTGACTAACAAGAAAGAGTTTGAGAAAAACTACTTGATTTTACAGCCCAGTATCTGCCAAATCTGTCAGGCAGAATATTATCTTATGAATTCTATTGCAATGACTGTGGATGTGTACTGGACTTGAAACAAACCAAAGCAATTCTCTGCCAAATCTTTCACAGTTCCTGTGGCAGAATACCTGAAAAAAAATGTTTGCATTTATACTCCATGTCAATTTTTATAGAATTTAAGAACAAATGAGCTACTACTTACATCTTCCAAATCTTCTTCTGGTGTTGCTGGTGTCCTGTCTGTTTTATCTGTGTTATATGAAGTTACAGATGACGTTTCTGAATCAACAGATTCTTCATCAAATCCAAAAAATGTCTCCACAACATGCCTCTGAAAAGGTAGTTTTTCTTAGTTACTAGCAAAACAGTTGGAAGACCCAAGTGACCTAGGAAGCAGTAGCCAAGGTCTTCTCTGACCATTTTAGTACTTATGAAGAAAAAAAAAAAAAAAAAGGTTTCATTGTAAACCTTGTTCTCTGATTAAATGAGCTACTTTTTCAACATCACTTGTGTAAGAACCTCCAAGAACTGAACTGCACATAGCACTGGGTAATTGCCAATAGAATAATGCTTTAGCAAAAGTAGAAAAGCTAATTACTAAAATCATACAAATCTTACAAGGTCCACAGCAGAGGAATGCAATATCTATCTACAAGGAAGTAACCCAGTACAATGCAACATAAGATGTGGAACCGAAAGGCCAAAAATATACTGAAGAACAATGTGAACAAATTTTATCATTCATAGTAGTTTTTAAAAAAGAGAAAAAAAAAATTATAATGTCTGTTTTGCAAAATCCTACTTACAAGTATAAATCGCTGCTCTCCCTTTTTTTTTTTTTTAATGCCATCGTTCTCAATTTTTTCAAAAGTTTGCTCCAATATTATGACTAACAAAAAAACCCCTATGTTTAGGGAAAACCAGCATTTCAATGCAGATTCTAAAAATTTTACACAATGAGTAGCCAATGGGAGTGAATAATACAATATTAATTGTGAAAAATGTGGTGGTTTATATAAAACATCACAACTGCAATAACTCTTTCACCATTTTAAGAGCCCCCTTTCCATCAGTTTCCTAACTGCTGCTCAGAAAGCAGCAAATTTCATAGAAAATTCTGCTGTTAAAAAAAAATAATTCTTAAACATTTAACTAGAAAAAGTTTTTCAAGTATTTTCCCTTCTAAAACAAAAATAATAAAAGTTTACTGTTATTAATCAATATAAAGCCTAACTTTTATACTATACAAGTGTTCTAATAATCCAACACGAATTCAGAGAAGCAAAATAAGAAAAGGAAAGGGAAAAAAAAAAAAAAAAAGGGGTGTTGCTGGGAAAATGGTGTCAGTTTATGAAGCATCCTAGACAGGGAGACTAGTGGAGAGAGGTGGCTGTAAGAAGACAAAGAAAAATCTGTTTATCCATCTCTATATTTTTTTGCTACTGTTTGAAGCTGAATCACAGAACTTGATCTCATGGTTTGTGTTTTGTGGTGTTGGTTTTGTTTTGTTTTTTTTAAAAAAAATATAAACCACAGGTTGTATGTGAGAAGATAATAGCCCTGTTCATTAAAAAAGCCTAAAGGATGAAAAAAATTATCACTTGTTATTAACTCAGAACATGAGACATCCTACATCTCAGCAAAGCCAAACTGGCTATGCGAGCAGAACTGTGAGCTATCAATTTTATCGAAGATATTGAAAGGTTTTATTTTATCTATAATACCATATCTCATGATGAATTCCAAATATTTACCTTTCCCTGCAGTCTTCTAGACTTATCTAACTTTATACATTCTTCCAGTATGTCTACAAAGTCCTGTCTTCACTTTCTTACAAAGCCCCATAATGATTAATATATTCTTTTGGCTCAGCACAGCTCCCATCAACAGCCAAAATACTCGTCTTGATTTAAGTGGTACCATATACACCAAGCTCATAGGTGTGACTTGGTGCTTGCATGCATTACACCGTGCACTCCATATACAGTTTGCAGCCCTGGTTACCATGGTTCACCAGGTCACAGTTTCATCACTCAGGCTAAACCACTCATAATTGTTTCACAGTATGGATAATTCCACTCCTACTACTGAAGACAGGTTCAAGGACCTGTTCTGAACCACTTAATTGCTTCACTTAAGATGAGCCCTTCAAATAATAATTTAAAGATTTCATTCAGACTGCATTTTTAAATTAACTGGTTCTACTAAAACCTCCTGAAAGGATGTTATGCACTCATAAAAAACCCCAACCCTAAAAAGCCACATCTTTTCCAAATAGACTGTGCTTATCCATATGCATGCAGATAAATATGATGCAGCACAGAAGGCGACGAGCTTCTGAACAGTCTTTAGAAGCAACCTTCCTTTTGCAAGCTACTAGACCACTATTTAGCGTCTTCACAAGAAAAGAAAAGGGCCACAGTTATAGTACTAAAATCCTGTAAAGACACACTACTCTTCCCTCAGTTGTTTAGGAACCATGTGACCCTTTCACCAGGCAGAGCTACGTCTAAGATGCTTAAGATAAACACTTCCTTGGGATAATTTAATCCTTTTCTCCAGCGTTTACATGCTGCACCAGTTTCTTCACCTTACTGTCCTACTTAACAAAACAAAGGACATGGGGAACAGGTTTAAGCTCTACTCTAGAAATATAAAGACTTATCCAGAAAGTTAATATGGTTTCCTACATTCAAATCACAAATATTTCAGACCCCTCTCTCATAAGTATAAAGGTTTACCACAAAAACTGAGGTGTAATTAGTCCTTGGGAGATGTCCCATCCAGCACTTCTGCCCCACTGAACACAGGTTGCGGCCTACAATCATCTACAGTAACACTCCAAGTATTATATCAGGAGTCGAAAATAGGCTAAAGAAATGGCGCTACCTCCAAGTTGTAAGGAAGACAAATTTACAATTTGGGTTGCCAGGTCAGCTCATCAGCAAGAACTACCTTCCGACTCCAAACCGATGAGCAGATACAGTTTCATAAAAATAGGTACACTATACCGAGGTAAAGGTGATGATGGCAGGTAAACAAAACCCAAGAGACTTTCAGGAAAATTGCATCCCCTTTTTGCAGTGCAGATAGTTTGTACTCAAAGACGCTGAGAGTAAAGCCAAAACAAAGCTGCGTGCAGACTCTTATGCCAATGCTTTTATATCCTGCTCTTCCGTCCGTACCGGCTTATCTGTGGACAGTGCACAGAACATTTAGCCCATGCTTTGGAGGAACCTAGCCAAGGACAAGCAACTCCAAGGACTGCAGAACAGCCGACCCTGCTCATGCCTCCTGTTTCAAGGGTGCTTGGCCTCAAAAATGACAAATGCGCTTGAGCAAAGCTCAACCAAAACCTGAAATAAAGCATAGGCTTGAGGGCTGACAAAGTGAATAACAGTCAAGCCTTGACTTTGAAAAGGCTGGTAGAAGGGACTTCTGAAAGACGGACAGCAAAACTCCAGTGTATTATCATATATATGGCACAGAGAATACAGTACCATGAAGGTCAGCAGCAGCTTAGTCAAAACCGACAACAAGGCTTATCATACCTACAGGGCTTTTTGCCATACCTTAAACTACAGTGGCTTTTGTAGATAACTCAGCTTAAGTATGTATCTTCCTTTAACCCTGCATGCACACACCCATGCACACTGTTTCAAGGAGTGAAAAAACAGAAGTAAAACAACAGAGGGATTGATTTTAAATAAATGCATACAGGTTTGAGAAGATACTTAAAGCAATGCCATTATTTTGACAAAAGACATTGCCTGCATTTAAAGATTTCACTAGTAGCAAAAGTAGGGAAAAATAATTTCCATGTATTAATAAATAAATCACTTGATTATTAGATGTGAGAAAATTAAGCAAGAAAATCAGTATTTCCCATCACAGTAAAAAACCCCAATGCTTCAAGGAGTGTTAAAAGTTAAAAACTGTTAAATGCTATACAAACTGCCTACAATATTTGGAGTTATAAGTGAACCACTTATTTTAGCAACTCCTTCCTCTTTAGAGAAGCTGTACTTTTATCATTTTGTGGAGAAGATACTTCCCATAGAAACAGAGTTAAGGTATTTAACCATTGTACATTAATTGCACATGTATGAATTGCCTCATGACATAACTACAAAAATAGCTGTTTTTTACTGTTGATCATCTAGTATCTGAAGCAACTAGCTACAAGAAGTGATTCACAGCAAAACCAGAACAAATTAAGTGATAAGGGAACAGCTGTAGAGAGAAAAAAAAGAAGAAAAAAAAAAAAAAAAAAAAAAAAAAAAGAAGACATCTGACTCATGCAAAGTTTGTTGATAAACACTGTAATAAATAATAAGGCACAAATAAATACACCAACTCCCAGGGGGATTCCACATATAGCTCAAAAGCTGAATCACCATGGTTTTTGAAAAGTATATACAAATACAAAAAATACTCACTGGATCTGTTTTCATTTAAGTTTCACTGAGACTTTTTTTAAAATGGGAACATTTTAATAAGCAATTTAAAGGATCTTTTATATTGATATGTACATTTGTTACTTCTAAATCACAAATTCACAACTGAAAAAATAATCATATAAATTGCTGAAAATTTCTGATTTAAATTCTAATTTCCACTGGTGACTGCCATGCATTTAACAGCAAGTATTTTTCATGTGGATTTATATTGATGTTTTCACATAATTTTATAATAAAATTATGAGTTAGGTCTTTATAACTAAAGTATTAATGCTTCTGCTGACGTATGGTGCTCAGTAAACATCAAAGTTTAGAATGTTATAAATCAATAACGACACATGGACCATAATATATGCAAATTTTTCAATATACCCTAATATTTTTAATGCTTTTGATTAGATATACTTACATATAAATAATCTGATTTCTCTGTTGCTAAAGTAGTTTCACTTTACATTTAAATATCTTGTTTTCAAGAAATTAATCTAAAATGATGAAAATGATCCAAGATGAACTTCCTTGTAATGCAACCAAATGAGCTAATCAGTAACTTCTTACCTTCATGCTTATATGTCATTTCTTGGCAGCCAGAAAAATACAGGCACACCAAAGCACAAAGGCAGATAAAAAAAGAAAAATATAAAACAAGAAATATGAACTCCATCACACCAGTGTGCAGGATTTCCACTATCAGAAATACAGCTTATTTATTAAAGCATAAATAAAGAAGCAAATCCATAGAGTCCTGCTGTTTCCAAACAAACTGGGCAATTATGCCTTGTTTTCAAATGCATGACTCCATCAATCATTGAATCACTGTAACTCCATTCTGCATGTAAAAAATAAACAAAACCCCAAAAATATTGTTCCAGAGTCTCTTGATTATTTTACTACCAAAAACTGGAAAAAAAAAAATCAGGAAAAAGCATGCTTTAAACAGCAAAAGACGATTCACCTCTGGTACACCTTTTCCTAACAAATCCAATGATATGTCAATGTGAAAAAAAACCCCAAACCTGACAAATAAATCCCACCTCTATCAGCTTAGGCTGCTTCACTTCAGACAAAACTAAGAGAAAACTATCCTACAGTACCTGACTATACAGACTCACTGTGTTATACTCATGTGAACACCTTGCAAGCACAGAGGTTATAAAGCTTCTCTTCTCCTCGGGGAACCGGAGCCTGTTGCCAGTGCTGTTCTATGGACTCCTACATCCCTTGGTAATTAAGGCAGTGCTCAGTCAAAGCTACAACTAGCAACAGTAACCTAGTGCACCCACAGAGCTCCAGAAATAACACAGACATTTAATTGAAAAAAAAAAAAAAAAATTAAATCCTTGGTATTTTCAAAAGCTTCTGAGCTGAACTAATGTTATTTAGACCCAGCTGGGCTATGAACGCTACTGGACTAGCCTGACAGATCATTCACACGAGCTGTCTTAAAGATGGAGAAAGGCATGGCATGGATTCTCTTCCAGCTGACAGGAATCACTGTCAGGAAAGAACTCGCATTAGAAAACAAACACAGACACGGTCCAGCCAGAATATCTCAAAAAATTAAAGAACCTGGAGTGTAAAAGTACCTGTTTAGGAGAAGCTGTAACAGTAGATGAGTTTAAATCTTCACCCTGTGCACCAAGTTCCTGTTTATTAGCACAAAAAAGGAACCTTTCTGTATCTTCTAGTCTGAGCTTATCCAACCACATTCGTGAAACTTAATTCTCGTCACTCATTTCCTTTTTCACTCTGTCAAGGGAAGTGGGACACAGCTGGGAATAGACCCTACTCCAACAGCCAAACTTGAAGATTCAATGTGCTAATGCTAACTTAACATTTAATGAAACTCAGAAAAGCAAAGTCAAGGATTTACATCAGTAAATTCTTCTGAGTGGTTGGTTAGGACAGATACACCCATAATTTTGTCTACTATTATATATAGGTTATCATCTGTATAATACAAAAATCTTGCACAGATCATAGACAGAAATACACTTGCAATGTATAACATACACATATCTATATCTTAGACAGTCCATGGAGAGAAATAGGCATTTTTAGGACAGAACACATATGGTCTGTTTAGATGTCTACTTCCAGAGAACAATCATCACTTAATGTTACCATTCTGTCCAGAGTGAGATGTCTATATCTCACCTCCATTAATGACATGTAAGCGAGCACTGCAAATGTGCAGTTAGATGAATTCTGCTGTTTTCACCTGGATTCCTGAGATATAGGCTGTAAAAACAAAGAGGACGAAGATGGTACGAACAGCTCATCTGGGTAAGCAGCCCATTCTACACAGACAGTTTAAATAAAAAACTGCTGGAAAACTGTGGGAAACAAATTCCTTTGAGGACTTTGATCCTCACAGGACCACACAAGGCACCTGGAAGGAAACCAGCCTGTATGCCAGGATTGCATTTTTAGAAGCTAAGATCAACAGTGTTTAAACTCCGAGGCAACACTGCATATACATGTGAATAGCCTACAGGTTTATATGATGGCAGGTAATAGGACACTACTAAATGTATTTTTTATTATTTCTTTCCTTCCTTAAGGAATCAGCACATTTAGAAACTATATATATGTGGTTATATAATAACTAGTATAGTATACATAGTAGAACTAGTATAATATATATAATCCCATTCACTTCTCTCACACCTTTCTCTCTCTTTTTCACTTGATTTTGTCTTATAGTCCTGCTTTTGCTTTGAGGAGAGAGCATCAAATAAAATTTCAAATGGCCAATTTCATATGGGCACCGAAGTACTAACAGGTAGGGGATGGAATAACTAGTGAGAGTTATGTTTGACACTGACTAATTTGGTTTTTTCTGGTGTATCTATCATGTCATAAGTAACAAGCAAACCCCTACTAACTTTGTTGCTCATGTGCACACAATTCTTGCAATAACTTCTGCACAAGTCCCCCCATTATAGTACTCTTACCACACAAAGAACAGCACTGCCTCAAATTTTTTAATGTTATCATACACATTTTCTCCAACCCTCATGTTGTTCTACCCTTGCTTTGGGCAATAAGGAAAAGAAGAAGAAAATGCCACTAAAGCAGCAGCTTGCTCAAGAGAAAATAGGTAAAAGGAAAGGGTACAGAGTCTAGGTCAGCCGAAATTCTACTAACACAGAACATTTTTAAGACATAAATGAATGATTATGGAAGTTCTCATCCTACAGAAATTAGTATCACTAGTTATCAACTCCTAAAAAACTAAATTAGTTTTGTTTCATTAGGAACTTTATAATTTAGCAAAAGATCTTACACAAGTAATTTAAAATCTGATAAAGGTTATTAATTAGAGGGCACTATAAAAATTACAGTATTAGTTACATATATATATTTGCTACATATATATTTACTTCTATGTCCTGTTTTTAAACTTGCTTTCAGCACACAAACTTCCAAATATACCACTACACCAAGGAAGAATGGTTCAGGGTTATTGCAAATATATTTGGCTTCTATCAGACTTCCATTACCTAACAGAAAAATATATGCAAGATTTATTGTTACTTCTCAATTTTTCTTTCTTCATCTGTAAAAGACACATCATTATTAGAAGCATAATTTGAAGAAATTACTGCTGAAAACAGAGAATCCCAAAAGATAAATCTTTCTGAATATACTTATTGCAGAATGCAGAGCAATAAAAAAGCACCACCTGGAGGTCACCAGGAATATACTATGCAGAACACACTGACAACAAGTACCCATTTATGACAGAATGTATCTTAAGCTATCATACAGATGACAATCAGATCTCCACTCTTCACTTCCATTTTTTCCCCTCTTGCCCTGTTCTCCTCCACTCACATGCTCCAGGCTGCTAATGTTCAACTTCCAAAAAACATTATTCAGCAAAATTAATTACTGTAAGCACGTGTTGCAATAAAAAATAAAGGTACACTCTGAAGCAAACCTTCTCTGTTTCTACAATCTAAATTTTTCTCTTGTACTTTGCATTCTAGAGAAAAATAGTTACTACAGAAAAATAGTTAGAATTTTCTTACTACTTATATATCATATACAGAAATATTTCAATAACATCTCTAGCATGACAAAGTTTTCAATTGTGATTAAGCAGTAATTGGGTACGAGTAGTTTAAAGGGTGCATTGTCTTTGAAATGGAGTGAATATTTGTCCTTTGAAATTTTAGTTGTTTCAAGTCATTATATCACTTAGGCCTCAAGACACTTGAATATTTAGGCCGCAATGGCTAAAAGTATAATTATGTTGTTTATCTAAAACAAAACCCAAGACAGAAACACTTGTGTGTAGTACAAAACTTGCAGCTCATGCATTATCATAAGAAAAAGTTAATAAGTGCTCACAAGAGAAAATAGGAGAATTATATGAAATTTTACCATTAATTTAAGTAGAGCTTTAATTTCAGGCAGTATTTGAAACGAGCGCTGTTCACAAAAGATATGCATGGAAAACTGAAGGTTTGCTCACCTTTGGAGGCTTCAGACTTTTCCTCCTCTGTTTTTTAGACCGCAATAACCGTTCCCTTTCCTAGAAGGAAAGAGAACATTGTAGTATGTTTTTTTAAAAAACATATTTCGGTATGTCTGACACAAAGAAATATCATTAAAATTTTCTTAAAGCCTATGGTAAAGCTAACAAAGACAACGTCTTTATCCTTTTGAATAACACCATGTTGATATAACACCACGCTGTACTGCAGCTTTATCCCTTTAGCGAACAATCTCTTCTGTCATATACTTTACACACTTGACAGGAAGTTGGCAAGGAAAGGCTTTGTTAAATACTGGGCACAGATTTATGACAGTTCTTTTGACTCTTTTACCAAGAAGCTCACTACGGAAACAGAATTCACATTCTTACTCCAGTGTTCAACCAGCCTGAAGAAGCATGTTGGTGGCCAAAAATAAGTCCAGCCTTAGTAATTACAAGTCATGACATCAGGCATACTGATGTACAAGCACGCATATGCAGATATAGCTCTACACGTGACATATCCTTGCAGGGCAAAAGTTTCAAATCCAAAGGCACTCTCAGTCTATCAACTTTGTTGGTGTCTTTTTTCTACCACGGCTTTGGAACAAGATCACAGTTAACTATGTCATAACAGGAGGAGTTATAACTGGAAAAACACAGGGTTTATGAACTATTCCAAGAATACTACCTTGAATTCCAAAGGAAAGAGGAGGAAGAGAAGGTAAAAAATGCAAAGCCACAAACAAAACCAACCCCAACAACACAGGAGGCAGGCGATCTGCCTCCTTGCCTTTTTACTGATTCTTTCCTTAGCTCTGCATCTTTGCTTGCAGTACCTCTATTTTTAAATGAATGATAGCAGTTCAAAGTTATTGCTCACTGCATGGTATTATTCTATTCAGAGCTATTTGCTTTACATTCAGTTCAGAAAGTGGACAAATAGGAAGTTCCCAGTAGAAATCATAATAAAATAATTTATCTTTATCAGCACATTGTTCCAGGAACGAATTTTTGGAAAATACAAAATAATTCAGAAAAGCACAACTTATACAGCCCCTTTAATACATGTGGTTTTCAAAAAAGAAAAGTAATGACTGCCAAGGTAGAGTTGTGCAGGTATTTCAAGCTGCAGTATAATATAACATAATACATTAAGCTAAAGCTGAAACCACACAGTTGAATTTTACAGTGTTGGAGAGAAACGCTCTCTCCTTAGGTATGTGGTTAAAGCACAGTCCCTGCTTTAACCTGGGTCTTCTGCATACCGACCAGGTGTCCAAACAGTTGGACTTTCCTCTCACTTCAGTGCAGAATGAACAAACACTTCCAAAATCCCCCACTCCTTCTTGTTTCTTATCTTGTTTGTATGAAGATCACTTAATTTACTGTCTCAACTATACATCAAGCTACCAGAACAATAATAATGCCAGTTAAAAAACACCATTTGCTGAATCACTAGCATCTTTTGTAATCATCCAAGTTTATCTTGACAGCTTTCCTTTTAAGAACCACTGTTGTGGGAGAATTCAAGTTGATATGGCTTCAAACAACACCAAAGATATCCTACAAACAACACTGTTAATCAGTTCAGACAAACCTTTTGCCTAAGACTATTGTTCTTATTTCCATGTATCATATTGGTCTCAGCTGCAGTTAAGCTGATGACTTTTGTATTAATCACGTATGTGACATGTGGGTCATTCTTGATAATCACGATACATTTGTATTCTGTAGAGGCACGGTTTGAGCCAGAAAGGATAGCTAAAAAGCATAACGGAAGTGCAGAATTCCACTGCCTTGTATCAAAGGCAAAGCATTGATTAGTAAGTACTGCCAACCAAAGCAGTATCCTAGTTAACAATTTAACTATTTTCTGCAAGTGAAATAGTATCTGTAAACAGGAAACGAAGCAAAAATGAAACCATATTTTTAAATATTTATTTATTTTACTTCCACACTAAACACAAGTCAATACTGTTTGACCAAAGTCAGGATACAATATATTTCCTCAGATTACTGGCTGAGACAGTAAAAAGAGAGCCCTTTTATACCCACTTTCCACTGAAATACAAGTGAGGTTATAGCTGCCATGTACTGGGAATTTAATATCATGTCATACTCCCTGCCTGTACAGTTGTATCTGGAAGGTAAAGCAGCATTGCTCTGTGAATCAGATCCTACATCATAGTGTCTGAGTAACATCCTACTGCTTGTAATGCTGTGACACTGTAGAATGCACGCAGACATCAATCTTTGGCACTGATTACAGAGAGAAATCCTGGGTCAGAAACTCAGAGGAAGTGCCAATAATAGAGTCAATGTTCCAGACAGTTCAGTAACACATCTTGTTGCTTTATCTTTTTGGATCTTCTATTTTTATTTTTAATGTTGTATCCAACTGTTTAATTTTCTATTTAGACAGAATGATCTTAAATTTGTTTTATCATTTTGTAGCAGTCAGTAGTGCCATTTGAGATGCTTTGAGTCTGCCTGAGTTCCAGATGATAATCCAGAAGGGCAGGGGTGTCTCAGAGATGATGTATCATTTCTGTCAGCACCAGAAGGGTATATCATAAGTTACACTAAATAGCACTAGACACCTCTAACACAACTCCAAAGAGCCCTGATCAAAAAGAGTGCAAACATCTATGAGCATCATCTTAAGTAGTCTTCAGAGTCAGAGGCTAGTAGCTGTGCAACTCTAATCTTAAACTATGCTGCTAACTTTTGGTTAGATGAATGGTGCATATACCTCTCCATTTGTTATAAAGACAGCCAGTGGGGCCAGCTCAGTTAGAGATGCTTAGTTAGATGAAATTAATGCCATCCTGCATGTTCCTTTCTTTTAGGAGGACTTCTAGATCAGGGGCGCGGTTGGGTTGCACCAGGGTCCTCAACACATTTCAGTCATTAAATTTTGGATCGTGTCCTTTCCTCAAGTTCCTCAGTTGTTGAGAGCCAATTTTATAAGCAAGGTGGATGGACTGTTGCACTTCTTTTCACAAGAAGCTCATAATAGGTAAATATTTTATAATACAGAGATTCATACACTTTCCAAAGAAATTCATTCACTACCTGAGAAGTAATCCTTTGATTACCAAAAAACTATTTCTGTGTCACTACTACAACTGGAATTAAAACATTGCTCTCAAATCTTTAGCTTGCCTATAAATGTGTGTGCATGCATGTGTGTATACCAGTCATAAGCATTACCACTGTGAGATCATCAATAACATGCTGTTGTTCTTTGACTTGCAGTCTAAGGAATTCAATTTCTTGTTCCTCTCGTGTGCTGCTGAGATCATTCAAAGATGTGTGCCTCTTCAGCGCTGGTTGTGCGGATAATTTCTCTTTCTACAAAAATTAAAATAAAATTTTAAAAAATAAACAGAACATTTTAAAGTGTCTTGCTCTAAGAGGAGGAAAATGCTTATTTGTGATGTAGTAATCAAGAACTCTTTGGACTCCTCAGTGCATGCTCCACTACAACATAAGGTCTCTTTCAACAAAAATATATTATTACACATTCTATATGCCTTGCCGTTAATATCTCACATAAGATATTTTGAAACAGAATCAAAGAACATAGTGTGGGATAAAATTAGCAGACAAATGAACTCAATGATCTAGCATAGTAGAGCCTTTGGCATACGCACTCAAATTCAGTTCTGACTTCTAATCATAAAAGCAGCATTTATTAAAGCTGATTTTTAGTCATACATTTTTATAGCCTCCAAACACACTTTATCTATCTGTGATCCTTTCTCTTAATTGGTGTGAATTGATACCAGACAAAGCACATGCCACTCTGAATGCAGAATATGAATATTCAGCAGCATTGGCTGAATTTGACAGTTATACCATCCCACTGCTGAGACTCTGAAATGTCTGTGTTAGAGTAAAAGCTTCACAAGCACTTTCACTTCAAAGTAGCTCTGTGCAATGCATTCTTATAACATGACATCAGAGATGATTACTTACCAATTCTACATTTTCCCTTGATAGATTTTTTATTTTCTCTTCCATTCTCTGGATACATTGCAACATATCATCATTTTTTTTGCTCATCCTCTTATTTTTTTCTACCAAAGGCTTCAGCTGACTTTCTGTCTCCCGAGAACGTTTCAGCTGCAAATGGCAAAGGAATAAAGTTAGCTCTGCTTTAGTTCATAGCCTTAGGAAAGAAGAAATAGAGTGGTTTCACTTGCTTTCTTTCTTCATTCAGAAAGTTTAGTTCTTTTGTTAAGTGGCATCTGATATGTACTACTGCTGAACTAAGAACTACAGGAGTTCAAACAAATAAGACATAACGTTTTCGTACAGTCTACAAAAACACGAGATCTGGTTTAGTACATTCAGTTTCAAAAAAAAAAACAAAAACAAAAAAAACCAAAAAACCCCCAAAAAACCTACCAAATCAAAATGCCCCAATCCCCACTAGATCTGGATTTTGCTCTCAGAAAACATTTATGATGATCTGTAAAAGGTTTCTTGATAAATTAATCTCATTGTATATAAGCTTCTTGTGACCAACTAGGTCTCTAGGGTAGTTGTTTTCACCAATTTACCTATCTCTTAGTAGGAGTAAACTCCTCCTCCTCTCCTTTAAAAACCACTGTACCTAATGTATAATTAGAGCAATGAGAAAGTCAGCCAGAGGGCACAGATTCAATCTCAGCATTCAGCTGACATTTTCAAGCTGCTCAATTTTGTTCCTGTGGTTTTAGAATGTTAGACAATTATGTAAAGCAAATTACTGCCCTTTCTTGCATTTGTGTGTATCAGTATTTCACTCTTTTTATTTCATTAATCCTTGAGCTGTTTTGTTTGTAAAAAAATCCATTTTTTCCAATCAAAACACTTTTAAATTTACTGAGTTTTAACTGGAAATGAGAAAAATATAATCCTTCTCCTGAGATAATTTCACTAAGTATTTGGTTTTCTGTTTCATTCTCAGGAGAAAATTATTTTTCACAGTGTTTAATCACATGTCCTTACTGGTATTACTGGGTTTATGTCACAATATGATAAAATCTTCCCCATATCTTTTCCAAAATATGCAGCTTATGCCTCTAAGTCAGGCATCAAGAAGAGCACTTGACTGAGTCACACATGCCCTCCATCTAGATGGACACTGAAAGATAGATGTTGCAAGTACTTCAGCATTCTTCAGGGACGTTTTGAATGACTTATGTCCACAGAAAGGATTAGGAGGCCAAATTACCTCGTCTTTCTATAATGCAGTCTTGAAAAAAGGAAAGATGTTCTTGAGAGTATAAAGCAAAGAAAAGCAACTGTACCAGTAAAAGTGGTAGAAAAAAACCCCAAAACAACACTCAGCACCTAGGCAAATTAGGAAAAATGGTGAACTTTACCCAGGCTAAAACACATGTTCTTCTTACCCCAAGAAACTTGAATTGTTAATAAGGAATCAATCTTTGCCATATGAAAGGGCTGTTTATACCATACAGCTATTTAAAGAGGAAAAGTTTGAAGAAAAAGACACAATTACATTCTCAATTCATCCAATTTTAGTCCACCATTGTTCAATTGATTTCATTAATCTAGATTCAGCCAAGATGTTGGGCAAGAAAACGTCAAAAATTAGCTGTTCTGATAATCATTGAGATGTCATAACTAAATTAAGTCCTTTTACCATAAAGCAAACCCTTCATATCTTAACATGAAGAGCTAAGTCTGACAAAGCAAGGAGGAAGATGTCAGTTCTTCACTCATCCGTAGGACTGACATGTGCAAGAGTGCCCTCACCTTCTGCCCTCACTATACATAATAACATTAATTTAGAATCAGCTACATAGCTTGCATGAGGAAAGAATTCCATCTGATTAGAATGAAAAATCTTTTCTACTGCCACTAGAATTAGGGCATTATAGGAGGAGGTGTAAAAATTCCTGTTGTTAAAGCTCAGCTCCCACTGCAGTCAATGGGAGTTTCACCATTACCTCAGTACCAGCAATTAATGAGCAATGCAGGCAATAAAACTCATTCTTAAAATTTATGTCATATCCCTTCTTTTGTAAGTTACTATCACTCTCCTAGGATAATTTCACCTACTTTAGAGCCTTCCCTTGAGAAATGGCAGATTTTTCATCACTAGCACAAGAAAGCTTTTTTAACTCCTAGCTAGCATAAGCATGTCACAAAACCAATGTCTAATTTCAAAAAGATTAATGCAGTAATTTAAGTGCACAGATTATGCATGTTTTACACAACATTATTACACAGTGCCACAGGCAAACTACCAGTCAATTTGATTACGATGACCCCAAAATAAATTTATAAATGTTTACTTTTCTGGAACAAGAGAGATTCCATCCATGTCTTTTATGGTCATAAAGTGAATTTCTATAGAAATCTCTGTTATATTTAGATATAATTGATTGAGGCCAACCAGGACTAATTTGTAAATTATTTATAACACTGACTTTCCAACATTAAATCTTTTACCATAAAGATGCCCTCCCAGTCACCATCTGTGTTAATACTAATTAATTTACCAGTTCATTTCTTTCATCTGCTAAGAGAGTATTTCTGTCTTCCAGCTTCCTTATTACAGCATTTAGTTCAGCGATTTTTAACTGAAATCTCCGCACATCTCGTTCATCCAAATGCTGCTCCTTTACATCAAAAACATACAGATATATAAAATGACCTTTTAAAAAATATTTTACTATCCACAATTTAGTATCATGGTTTAGCAAGTAGATTGTGTAAATTTAAAACAGACTCATACATCAATGTCTGCAAAACTTATTTTAACTAACTGAAACACTAAACAATACTATATGATGGAAATACTATGATATATTACATGAAAAGCATCTACTTGTGAAACGTATGTAAAGGTTTAACAATTTAAAAAAAGGCAGCTAGATAAATAATACTTCACGTATTACTAGCTACTTCTCACCAGTTTTCTTACTATCAGCTAAAACAATTCTAGTTTTAGTGCATAGGACAGAGATTAAATCACATGGCTTAGTTTTTGAGCAGTAGAGTATCTATTTGCCATTGGTTAAAATAATTCCTAAAGTTATGAAATTCATAGCTAAGAAAATAATGGGGTTCACAGCTGAAGCTCACAATGTGAATTCTAAAAGTTCTATATCCATATATTTTCAACATTCTTAGAGATTCAAGACATCCAAGGAGGATCTAAATCATCAATGAAACAGCACACTGCAGTGCATGGCCATTTACCATGAATTAGTCCTTCTAGTATTTTAAAAGCAGCCACAAAACCAATGTGAACACCCAGGCAGCAATGAGCCTCTGTCGAACATTTAAAGAAAACACAATTTTCTTACCGGGCTTCCCATCAGTTCGGTGATATCCCCCACTCCCGCAGGAAGCTCTCTCTTAGGACTACTGTGGTATCGTTCTGCCTCCTTCACTTGGACAAGCTGTTCATCCAAAGCTTCTTTCTGAAGAAGCAGTTTCTGTGTATGGCCTGCCTGGACACCAAGGTCTTTCTCCAGAGCCAGAATCACCCTGTCTTTACCTTTTATCTCATCCATCTGGAAAGAAAAAAAGCAAGAAGGAAGTTTCTGTAACATCTCCAAGTATTCACTGCATGCATACCCACAAACTCGCAAAAACAAAGTTCGGTTTCTCTCAGAATCATACCAGCACCCAGACTGTGGCTGCTAAAAACAAGATATCTCCTCTGAAGCCTTTTCCCCTCCCCTTAAAAGAGTTTCAGCCTTCAATTGATCACAAGTTTGCTTGTTGCAGTCTCAGTTCAAGAGACAAACAAAAACAGATGCAAACATACACTGAAACAGAATACATAGCCACTGAAATCATCCACTTCCTCTGAGGATACACACTCCTATAAGCAGAAGAAAAATCTCCATTCACTATGTTTCAGAGAAGAAACACAGAGCTAGTACAAGATAAGACAAACACAGCCTTTAAAACTCACCTGGGTTTTCTTTTAAAGCTTGAGCCATACACATTTGCCCCACGTTGACACCTTCTTTATTAGTGAAAATCACACGTGGTGAATCTCTTCATAGACTTTTAAAATTTAGTAACACACACGTGCACACACATTTTAAATTAAAGTCTTAAGCTTACCTATGTATTTTAAGTGCCCTTGTAAGATTCAAGTGAGGAGAGGACTACTCTTTGTATAGAAAGAAAATAAGCAAATGCATACAGAGCATTAGATTTATTAGAGTAGGAAGAAATAGTTCTTAAACACCTTCTATGGTTACTGCATGGTGTTGTTCATACATCTCCATACCAAATAAAGCATACTGCTAGCAGTGATCTATTGCGGCTCTCATAGGATTTGTCCCTTGCAGCATCAGTGTTAAATTCACTCTGGTACTATTCCAAATGCCAAAGGAAGTGACAATCTTCAGCAGTTACTGTAGAAACAGGTTTCTTAACAAGAATGTTAACCATTAGAACTGTGCTGTATCTCCTTCAGTTTAATAAATTGTTTTCTTGGCCGACGTAAACCCATGGAATTTTGCAAATAAGACTTTTATAATCTTATTTGAAAAAAGAAAATAAAACAATGAACTTATTAAATCCTGTATTTATTGTTTATTATAGTTCTACATCCATAGAAGTCCTTTAAATCAAGTTACACCAAAAAAAAAAAAAAAAAGAGGAAATGTTAGAAGTAACTTATAGTTAAGTCTGAGTGATATACAATCAGATTACACTATCAGACACAATTTGCTTCTTCAGGATTCTTGCCTTACTCCTTTCACAGTCTACCAAGCACATGAAATTAGTTTGTGTACAGAAGCTGAGCAGCAGGATATGGCCTAGCAGAACCAAGTCAAGTCATGATCAAAGATAAAAAGGTCAGATTTTAAGTGAATAAGCTGGTCTAGACTACTTTTAACTTCCAACTGGAACTCACGAAGATTAGTTCTGATGGAGATGTCTTTCCTGATTTAGGAAGGTCACTAGGTCTCAATTCCTCATCCAGTAAAGAGGTATAATACTTCCCAGTATGTTAATTCAGATTTGTGAGACGTTCAAGTATGCCAAAAGGGACTTGCAGGAAAAGAATGCACTTTGGAAGAATTTGCAACATGCAGGGTTTCAGAGGGACCGTGCAGTGAAGAGCAATGACAAAAATCAAGCAGCTGCCCCATTTACTGAATGCTATCTGTCATGCACACTGATCTATCAGGGACCCATTGGGAGGAAAAAATGTCGTGTAACTAAATACTGTGGACAGTTTCGCTTTCAATTACACAGGTGTTCACTCTGAACATCGATGCAATTGAGAGGGGAATCTGTCTATGCAAGCATACATTTAAGAACAAAGAACCAAGGCTACATAGGCAGCCTCGATTTTAGTTACCCAATTAGTAGCACATTTCATATTCTCTACATTCCCACAACTTAAATACTAAATGGAATGACATAGGTATTTAAGTTGGAAGAAAAAAGAAAGCAACAATCTCATATGGATTGCTACTTGCTGCACCACAGCAGAACAGATCGTTTGAAACAGATGTGACTAGCGAAATCACGCCCCGTCACCCTTCACACACATGCCATAGATCAAAGCACACAAGCTCACACACATTAGAAAGAAATGCCATGAAAGAGCATGGCTGTGGGGTGGGGTCATGGGAAGGCAGGAAAGAAGGCAGAATTCCGCTCTGCTCTTCCTACTACTGTTTTTTCTACCATAAAATCTGCATGTGGTGAAACTTTCAGGAAAAAGAAACACCCCATGTTTCAGTCAAATAGAAAAATTCTTGAGACACTGATAATAATTGAAAATAGCAATATAATAGCAACAGCTGCACTCCTTTTTAATTTTGGGCTTATATTTTAAGTTACACACAGGCACTAGAGAATCTCTTCCTCATGTAAACATACGCATGTGTGCACTCACACAAATACATAGAGTATTTCAAAAGTGCTTTTTTTTAATTATAAGTACAGACAAGCAGAAACAAGAATTTCTAAGCAACTAACTTATTACAAACTGATAAAGATGAATAGAACTGCAGCAGTAACGCCTCTACCCTAAGTTCTGTTTCAGAAGCCTGGGGTACAATACGACTCTCCCTTCCTCAAGGGGAGAATTACACCTTTGATTTCTACACTGTAACTGCATCAATGCAGGCAATGCCTCAATTTTCTTAAATCTACCCCAATGCCTGACCCAAAGATTTACCATCTTTCTTTAGACTTGCACACTACAGAGCAAGCTTGTTCATTTGACCTGTCTGCTCTCTTAACAGAGAGTATAAATTACTCCAGTGAGCAGGAAAAAAAAAGAAGAAGATAAATTTTTTACAGTGACACAACATTCCTCAGTTCCACATGGAAGAGATGGCAGGTCAAGGGGGAGGCAAGTAAAGAAAGAGGTACAAGACTAGGAAAATGAAAGATATGGTTTAGGTTTAAAATGAACATAAGCTGACAGATAGAGAAGATAGGTTAACCACTCCCAAAAGATTTTAGCTTAGCTTAGTCTTGTATATTGTAATAGTTGTAAAAGCTCACACGAAGTCTCCATGCCAGTTCTGTACTACTGGAGAACTACTCTTTCCTTGAATTCTTGCCACGTTTGGTTACATGAAGAAAAAAAGTTGTCAGCATATAGGAAAACAGCCTTATGTAATTAGACCATTTATTAAGGTCTTCATTTTAGTGGGGAGAGTAGTATCTTCCCTTAGGTAAATGAAAATCAAAACGGATTAATCTAGGTTCCCTGCTACTTGCTATTTTCATCAAATATATGTTGTGGAAGCAACACTGTCATAGCCAAGATTGTCTAGGAATCTACATGGTCTAAAAGAGAAAGAATATTTCTGATTAGACCAAGTGACAAAGTTGGAAAGAAAGCTTTCAGGTACAGAAGCCCCTCAGCAGATCAAGAAGCTGTATGCTTAAAAATTTCTCAACTTTTCCACCTATGTAAGTTTGCTTTTCCCATAAAAATGTTGGTCTCTCTATATAAGGTATGTATACATGTACATACGCAAACACACATAGTGTACATATACATGTGTATACACTCACATTCTGAGATATTTTCCAATTGTCATTTTCAACTACTGTAGACAAATTGAACATTAGTAGTCTTTATGATATTAAGTGAAATAACAATTAGTGGTCCTGTCACAATGTCTCAAGTATTCTATTACTACAATGTTCATTCACCAAACAGCATCTAGAATTTGTTATTTTACCGTGCACAGCATTCCTTTCTTTTTCATGCTTTTTAATGTCTGTTTTACATCACTAGGGAACCATCCCCAAACTACTCATCACTTACTTACATAAGTTTTCTCTCAAGTGCAATTTGATTACATCTAAAGACTCTTTTTGCCTATCAGCTCTAAAATCCATACACATAGGTAGAATATTACCTGAGCTCTTATATCATGCCTTAGTCATTGCAACATCATCCTCTCTGACCTTAAACGCAGTCCTGCCCTCACCATCCAATGTGAATGCTGCTGTTAATGATGCTCTTTTCACAAAACTCTCATCTCTGGATACTCTGAGCTTTTTTTCTTTTTACTACATTAAACAACAACAATCGTCAAAGATGTTCACAGCCTAACTTGAGTCCATTCATCCCTCGTCTAATATTAGGGTGCTACATCCCCTCCCCAATGCCAGTTTGTCATATATGCAGTCATGCATTTTCATGTTTTCTCTCATGCCACCGTGTCTACTTGAAGGGATACTCCACAAATATCCATTTAGCTACCTGACTGACCTTCTTCAAATTCCTCTTACATCTCTCCTTTTCCATGACACCTCTAAAATACAAAAGAAAACGATGAAAAAAAAAGTAAATACTTAACAGAAATTACACTGCTGAGACTGCAATCTGTTGTCTAGTCATCAAACAGGATACCTAAACTAGCAAAACCCTGAGAACCTAAGACATAGGAAGCACACTATAGAAATGCAGAATTCTTCTATTGGAAGCAATGCAGGGGTGTCAAGGCCAGTACCAAGCCCAAGCTAATAAACCTGGATGGATCAGCTCTCGCCTGATGATTCATGGCCTGATTCTGAGCAAGGAGATGGCTTTCTATTGTGCTCTTCAGCCCCTCGTTGTCCACAGAGCACGGGGCAGGACCTGCCATGCCAGGCACCTGTAAGGGGTTTCTGCATCTGTGGCACAATGTAGCTGGGACAAGCAACACAGGGCAATGAAAGCTGACTGCACTAATCTCCTGTCATCCCTTTGTAGATTCCTCCTGTACTACTACTCATTTGAGACCTCTCACTAAGATACAAAGGGCAGAGACCACCTTTTCTTCCAACATATTTAGCACAATGAGATCCCAAATCATGCATTGGGCTCACAGGTATTATGTTAAATCAAATACATTACCAGAGAAATTCCTTCCAACTGGCTGCTTTGGTTTCAAATTTGTTCTCAGTTTAAAACAAATTTGCCCACTTTTTGCAGCTGCACAATACAACAAGGTCACTTGAATTCTTTTACATTCTGTTTTGCATGGATTTTAAAGCATTTTAGAATAGCCACACTTTTCTTCATGCGATT